CGTGTACGGCGTGTGCGACGGCCACGGCGGCCCGGAAGCCGCCCATCTCGTCGCGGACCGCTTCCCCGCCGCGTACGCCAAGGCCCGCGCCCTCCCCGACGCTTTCCGCGCCGTCGATAAGGACGTGTGCGCCGCGCAGCGCAAGCCCGCCTTTGTTGGCACCACGCTCACCGTCGCTACCGTCTCCCCCGCGGGGCTGCTTTCCGTCGCCCACGTCGGCGACAGTAGGGCCGTGCTCGTTGATAAGGACGGCGTCGCCGTCGTGCTCACGCACGACCACTCGCCGGACCGCGCAGACGAGGTCAGGAGGATCGAGAAGGCCGGCGGTGGCGTGCTGCACGGCCGCGTTAACGGCGTGCTGGCTGTTAGTCGCGCCATCGGCGATACCGCGCTCAAGGGCGTCGTCAGCGCCGTGCCGGAGGTTTGTGAGGTGCAGCTTAGGGGGGATGAGCCCATGCTCGTGCTGGCGAGTGATGGGCTGTGGGACTTTGTCAACGAGCAGGAGGTCGCGGCCGTGGTCGTCCAGGGTGGGGAGCTTGAACCCATGGCCACCGCGCTCGTGGACTTGGCCGTGAAGAGGGGCAGTAAGGATGATACTAGTGTCGTCTTGGTTAGACTAGGCCTGTAATATTATTGATGGGATAAAAAGCTTTTGGAGTTTTTCGCTTTCTTCGCGCTCCCCGCCCCGCCGAGACGCCCTTCTGTTTTACATGCCCGTACAAGTTATATATCGTCACCTACACGGAAACCGTCGAGCGAGTGCGCACGACCGCGCTACGGCCTACGGCCTACGGCCCTCCCTTACGGCGGCGCGGCCCGCTCCCTGCCTTCGTCTACCATCCCCGCCTCGCCGCGAGGACCGCGATCGCCTGCATCTCAAGCCTAGCGATCTCGCGCCTGACGCTAGCCGTCTCCTCCGCGAGGCGCTCGAGCCCCTGCACGACCTCTTGCACTGCGCGCGCCTCGCGCACCAGCTTCTCGGTCTCGCCGCGCACGCCCTCGCGCACGCCGTCCGCGCCCTCCCGCACGAGCGCGGCGTGCCGCTCGCCGAGCGCCGCGGCCTCGCCCCTGCGCCTCCCGAGCGCGGCGGCCACCTGCTCGAC